CATACTAATATACACACTTATACACACCTTTTTACTCACTCATTCCCTAAAGAGCTAAATAATACACCCATACTAATATACACACTTATACACATCATACCCAACCATTCCCTAAAGAGCTAAATGATAACACGCACCCTTACTAATATACACACTTACACACATCTTACTCACTCATTCCCTAAAGAGCTAAATGATAACACGCACCCATACTAATATACACACTTATACACATCTTACTCACTCATTCCCTAAAGAGCTAAATGATAATACGCACCCATACTAATATACACACTTACACACATCTTACTCACTCACCCCCTAAGAACTAAATAACAGACACTTAACACAGACACATCCCTATTCCAGGAACCAATAAAACTGTGAAAATGACCAAGGAAATTCAGAGCAGCATGAATCCATCCAGCTCTTACCTTAAATAACAACTTAAAAGAGACTGTTTGACCAACACAAGGACTGACCAAAAAAATCAAAATCAAATGAAAACTTCAGATAAAGTTAATTTTCTCTATCAAGTGATTCATTTCTACAGTTCACTGCTACTAACAAGCAGAATTTATTTTTTTCCTGATGATGGCCATACTGGCCGAAACTAGTCGATGAATCTAATTGAAATAATAAAACGAAAAATATTAATATACAACTCAGTGTGTCCGAAAATTTTAATTTTCTAATATTTTTTATTGTTCAAAACATATATATTATACATACGTATATATATATATATATATATATATATATATATATATATATATATATATATATGTGTGTGTGTGTGTATATATATATATATATATATATATATATATATATATATATTTGGAAATGTGGTATGAAAATACGTCCTCGTTGTTTCCATTCGAAGTTAAAGTAAAGTAGTATCTGGGGGGGTTCCTAAATTTTATTTAGACGCCTTAGACCCATAATACTTGTATGTGTCAGTAATCCATGTTTCAGTCAATTTTTTGGAAACAGATTTATAGAAACGCGAGCTAACGTCGACATTCACGCGTAAGCTAACAGAGTCAAAGGAAAAACGTAAATATAGAAAGAAAAAAAACGGACATTTAAAAGACTCCCTTGAGGAGTGGACGTGTACCACGAAACTACGTATTCAGGAGAAAAATAATTAAAAAAAAGACAAAAAAAACCGGATATATATATATATATATATATTCGGATTGCCAACACACAAACAGAATGTCTCATATCGAGAATATTCCACATTGAACATGAAGAAAAATTAATTATTTTTAATAATATGTAAAAATCTCCACTTTCACCTGAAGACGGTTGCGAGACCAGACCAGAAACACGTGTCGTGAAATTATGTAAAACAAAGTATAATATTTTTTCTCAATAAATCCACATTACAACCAAAAACGTTTGCGGCACCCTCTTCTTTTTAATATACATACTTTTCTCTCGTTGGAACCACTACAACATATTTCTTTTTATATATATATATATATATATATATATATATATATATATATATATATATATATATATTCATGGAGCACCTACTCCCTCAAAGAAATCTCTGATGCTTGGTCATTTGGTTAGATTTTAGATTTTGGGCTGTGGGTCGGGTCGCGAACTTTTCAGCACCCCTCGTATGTATAGATGTATACGAGAGGGTGGTGAAAAGTTCACGGCCCGACTAAGAAGTAATCCAAAATAATTCTTCTGTTTAGTCATTTCGTCAGGTTTGGGTAAGTTGTTTAGAAGGAAAACATTTCAGCATCCCCTATATACCCGCACAAAAAAGCCCACACGCGCATGCGCCCACCCAGTGACGCACAGACAAATCTAAGTCGAGGGGAAGTCGGAAAACCGAGAAGAATGTATCGACCTTTAAGAGTTGTTTCGCTTGGACTTACATGCATAGCACTAAAACATTCAAAGAAGGTTTAAGACCCTCAAGACGGGCGATGCTGAGGTTTCCGATGATATTCAGAAACCTGATAGAAATTTGAGGATATTTTCTGCTGTGAACGTAAAATTACATGAATAAATAATAATAACAAGAGGTTCATGATCAATATGCCCGTACCAAGCAAGATCATGTAGACAAACTCAGTACCCATCAGTGGCTACATAGTACAGGTTTAAAAGCTGAAAACGAAGGTCTTATTCTTGCTGCACTGGACCAATTCTTGCTAACTAAAATTTACCTAGATACAGTGAAGTAGTTGGAACCGACGCATTGATTGGAAAAGGTATCGATAAATTAACTGAAGGGATTCCTGGTAGCTGATGTCTTAAAGAAATACAAAAAATAGTACTGTCTTTTGCACAGTATAAAGAGACAACTTTTTCATTTTATTCACACACGCACACACAAACACACACACACACACACACACACACACACACACATATATATATATATATATATATATATATATATATATGTGAAAAGTGTATATAAATATAAATAAATATAAGTATGTATAATTATTTATATATTATATGCGCGGTACTTATTAGAAATGTATGAGTCCCGACGGACGACCAAGTATGTATATGTATCTGCATACATCGATGTTTGCGTTAGTACGATGAGTGACAAAACGACGAAATTTCCCCCACCACTTCCACAATAACACCAATACACGCAATCTACATAAACCCAAATTTTATAAAACATTAATCAGTTTGTCTGACGATCGCTAAAGCGTGAAACACAGCGTCACAAACTCACACCTATCCAACCAAATATATATAATATATATATATATATATATATATATATATATATATATATATATAGAGAGAGATAGAGAGAGAGAGAGAGAGAGACATAGTGGGATGAGAGATAGCTAGATAGACAGACAGACAGACATGCCTATATATATATATATATATATATATATATATATATATATATATATATATATATAGGGTCCTCCATTAGGTCACTTAAAAAAAAGCAGCATATCACGATGAATAAACGTCCATAAATCAAGGGAAACAAAATTTTGTCTCAATATGTTTATGTCGTTATGAAAAGGAAAGACCAAAGTTTTTTTTTAAATATTTTTTGAAACTTTTTACTCCTTTCTATCACGTAGAAAATTTTGGTTAATTTTTTTTTTTACGACAGCGCGGGAAGGGTAAAAAAAGGTTTGTTTTATTTTGCGATAATTAGGAAATTCTTGCAAAAATCAAATAATTTTCGGATTTTAATTTAAATTTTCAGGACTTATTCAGAAATAAATGAAATTATTTTTGAATTTTTTTTCAGAAAATCTTGTTAAAAAGAGATTTTTTAACATGTTTCCATCCACTTACATATTTTCATGAAATTTCGACAAATTAAATCTTAAAGCGCGGGATTTGTTTTATTAGTTATAAACAGGACTCTTTGTAGAAAGTAAATCACCAGGTTTTTTTTGTAAAACAGTACCCGGTGTCATAGAAAATCTGCTTTGAATTATAAAAAAAAAACGTAAAAATGTATGACATTAATTAATTAATTAGAAAAACTTTCACCTGTTTTTGTAAATACGTTATACTAAGGACATTATTTTGTGAAGAAATAAAATTTTTTCGATGAATAATGTATTTTTTACAGTCGTTTGACCCAAAATATTTTAAAAATAATTAAAAAAAATATATATATTGAAAAAACGTTCATAATTTCTACGTATAGAAATGTATACGTGACATAATTATCTAATTAATAAAAAACTTTAAACTATTATCTAATTAAGAAAGTATGAAATAAAAAATAGATATTACATAATTGCTGAATAAAACTGTTAATATTTAAAAAGTACTAGTTAAAAACGAAAAACCGCGTTCGCTTACTTTGCAGAAATTGTCAATTTTGATCATCCATAGTAATCTATCATCACTTCGTCACAATCGATTTCTTTGATAAATTCAGACACATCGTTAAAAAATGTCTGGATACAAATTTTTATGCTATAAGTAAGTACTGCTTGTTTCATATCAGATTAATTTAACTTTTAATTTTACTCAAATAACGTGTCAAAAATATATAAATTTATTTTAGGAAGAAGTTTAAAATCAAAATTTTGTTTGTTTACAAATTTCTTAAATTTAAGAAAATGTACGCTTTTAAGAAAATTAAACAAAAATCGAGCATATATTTGACATTCCAATCTATATAATTTCTATCTAAAAAACACTAGAATATGTTACTTACTGTAAGTAATAAATTTAACGCTTTAGCTTTCAATTAATAACAACATATTGAGACAAAACTTTGTTTTTGTTGATTTGAGCCTTTTTTAATCGTGATATGCTGCTTTTTTACGCGACCTAATGGAGGACCCACATATATATATATATATATATATATATATATATATATATATATATATATATATATATATATATATATATATATAGAGAGAGATTGATAGATATATAGATAGATAGACATAAGTGTGTAAATATACATAGTAAGATAGATCGATATACTCGTGTGTGTGCATATATATATATATATATATATATATATATATATATATATATATATATTATATATATATAATAAGAAAATAAAAAAATAAAAAATTAAAAATTAAAATCATTAGACACACTGGGTTGTAGATTAATATTCTTTCGTTTTTTTTTATTATTATTCCATTTAGATTCCTCGACTAGTTTCGACCGAAATGGCCATCATCGGGAGGAGAAATTAAATATTTCTGCTTGCTGTTAGCAATGAACTACATACATACATATACATACATACGTATACATATATATATATATATATATATATATATATATATATATATATATATATATATATATATATTCATTTATGGATATCAGTTTTTGACCTAGGTTTCACACTTTTGCGATCAGCAGACAAAGAGTGAAACCCAGGCTCATAAATTCATATCCATACCACTGA